GTTCATATTCTTTTTGACAGAGTTCAATGAGAAATTTTCATTGAACTAGTTCGAAACCGTATTAATAAAGATAGTATTTATTTGACCAAGGAACCTCACTAACTGATATTCTCCGTTTGAGCTCATATTTTGCTCATAGTGTAGATAAAACCTCAAAAAGGATTCTTTCCATTAGAATCTTGTTCTCGAGTTATGACAAAAAGATTCGAAAAAATCCGATTTGTTTAGCATTCAACATCTGGAGAAGAAACCATTCATTTTGGCTGCTAATTCGCAGGATATTATAAGGGCCATGAAATCTGTTTTGGGATGAAATTTCAGATTTGAATTCTTCGATTTGGTTTTGTTCATAAATATCCTGCAATAGACTGTAGATTCAGTAAAATGGTCATAATTCGAGAACAAGAGTCTAATGGAAAGAATGCTTTTTGGATTTTTATCTATAATATGAGCTCAAACGGAGTATATCAGTTGTTGGTGTTCCCTTGTGAGTGTATGATTAATTACTGTTTTTTTATTTTATATCTAATTATTGATAGATAAAGTAAAAGTATGGGTCTTAATATAAGTGGAGCTATTGATCGTGCTCGATATCCTGAACGTTATCCAGATAAAGCCAAAGGACCTACATTTGATCCGGTATGAAATTAATGATTGATTATTTTGAATCATTGGATTTTTCTTGTATTTATTATACTTTAAGATGTATGGTTTTCCTGATGGTCGAAAACCGAAAGGTAAAAGAGAAGATTATTGCAAAACTGATAAACAAACATAAAGCTGAATCATTTCTCATATTTTTGAACAAAATGTAGAAAATAATCTTCATATGATAAGTTTCGAAATTGTTCTATAATTATTCTTTGTAATATGATATACAATCTGAAGAAAATAACATATCATATGCAGTAAGAAAACGGAAGAGTTCATTTGAAGTCAGTTGGTTTCTATTGCAGGAATATTATAATCATGTATCACAATAGTTCACAGTAAGTGACTAATTGAGTTTCTTTACAATGTTTTCTTTCTCATGTTGTATCGCACTCACTGTAAAAAGCTCAAGAAAAAATAAAATCTCGAAAAATATCCTCTCATTCTATAACCACTCAGCTAGTTTCATGTGAATCATTTATTTGAGTGTTTCACGAGTGAAGAATTTTTCGATCATCAATAAATGTTGAAGAGGATGACGAGTAAAAAGAAGAGCAAAATAAAAAAAAATGTTGCTGTGTTTCAACAACGAATTCGTTCACTTCGATTGTTATCTAATCAAAATAAAAAGAGTCTTGATTATCTTCTAGAACGACTTTTCGACTTTCTTATTATCATGTTGATATCATACACTGCAAACTATTTGAGAGATTTTGTGTGTCGAGCTTTTACGTCTCAAACTGTTATTTCTAGAAGTATTGGAAATCGTATATATCTTCGTTGATATTCTCTGTTATGTTTGAATTTGATATGAAATATAACTTTCTAGTTCTATGAAATTGATTAACTAAATTTATAAATATAAAACTAAAAGCCATGTAGGAAAACAAAACGTTCAGAATTTCTTGTATTTTCTTTGTATTATAAATAAAATTCAATTTTATCTTAAAGTAAAAACTAACAAAAATATCTTCCATTGATTATAATATTTTATATCCTTATAGTTGCACCATATACTGAAGAAGAAATGCAACTTCTGAATATTCCTCATGAAAAACGTGATTATTGTGCTCATTATTTTCGTGCTGTTATGCTATGTACACAACAGTATTGGCCATCACAATATGCATATTGTGAACCTGAACGACATGCATGGGAACAATGCGAAATAAAAAAGTATATTTTATTATATGAATTATTATTTCAATAATTTATTATTATTATTATTTTCTTTTAGTAAAATTGATGACGCAAAAGAATATGAACGAGAATTACGTTTACTTCGACGACGATTACGTAAAGAAGAAAAAACTAAACAAACCTCAACACATAATGAAGAGACGGCTAGCAATGAAGAATAGAAAATTAACTTTTTTCATTTCAATACAATATCCTTAGTCCTTAGACATTGTTCTTTCTCTCTATCTTTATTCTTCTTTTTGTCACATTCACAACAAAACGATTTTTTTTTGTAGAAATAAAGCATGTGTTTGTGATGATACTTTCAGAAAAAGAAAACACAATGACCCCTTACATTTATTGTTTATCTCTTTTTAGTTTTTGATTTAAAAAATCATGGATAAAAAATTGGACGCATTAGTTGATAGCGCGTATGTATTAAGTAAATTATAACATAGTAAGATTAATGTTATTTTTATTTAGAATAGAAAAGTTTACAATGGTTGGTGTTGATGTTAAAGGTGTTCTTGTCTGTGATAAAAGTGGATTAACATTGACAAGTAATAAAAAAAGATTTTTGTTTTGTTTATGAATGAGCTCTATTTTGTTTTTCAAGGTAAAGATGTTTCAGTCTCTCCTGGACCAGTTGCATGTCTTGCTGAATTAGCAGCATCTTTATCCGGTAGAAGAACAACTGTTTGTCTTGAACACAATGAAAAGTAAGAAAGTTTTCTTTTTTTTTATTTAAAATACGAATTAAGTTGTTTTTCTTTTCATTTAGTCAAGTACTTATTCATCAAACAGATAAAGCTGTTGTTGCTGTCTATACAAACAATGCTACATGAGTTATTTCTTAAAATCTACCTTCAATTTAATTGAGTTTCATTTTCTTTTTCTGTTATAATTGGTAATAATATTTTTTTATCTGGTAATCAAATCAATGATTAGTTTTTTTTTCTTTTTTTATATCAAATAAATCACTGTATGCGGTAAATATGTGACGACGAAAGTCTTTCGTTTTTGTTTTGGTTTTATCGACGAGTTGTTTCTGTATAAATAGAAAATACTGCTTTACCAGCTTCACGAATAATTAGTTTTCTAAAACCAAAAAAAAAAAGAAAAAGAAATTTATTAATAGCAATTCAAAAAATATCCCGAACATGTACTATAGAAAATGCTGTAAATTAATTTCTCATAATGCAAATAATATATTAATGATGATTTGTTCAATCGACTGGTGACAGATAAGTTAATTTCTACTATAAAAACTCATTTCGAGCGAACATTTTAAGAGATTTATGGTATGCACAGAATTTCATAGTTATTAACGGTACCCGTTTTTCCTAAGTTTTCGGAAAACGGCTCATCAGAAAAATTAGACATTTTCAGAACAAGTAGATCATGACTAGTAGAGTAGAAGTTGTCATTCAGAATGCTATCTTCTATGAAATCCTGGGATCATAATGGCCCCAATTTTCGCTCTCATTTCTTCAAGATGTTATGTTCGATCGAGTTGAAAAATTTTTTTGCAAACATTAAACACTGCTGTTTGGTATAGATATCTTTCAATTTTTTGTTCTTTGAATGAAAAAGACAAATCTCGAAGGAACCTTAAAAAACGCATGTTTGTCAGAATAGAGCTTTTTTGTTGTAAGAGCTGCCAAAAATCAGCAAAACAGTATTTTTTTTAAAAGTATCTATCCCAAGCAGTATAAAGTATATGTAAGAAAAAAAGTGCCAGCTAGGTCGAATACACTAGGCCAGGGAAACAGGAGCATTTGTGTCTTTTTTCTCATGAAAAAACTTAGTTTGAGAAAAATATGATTCGCTGTTTTCGTTACGTAAATTTGTTTTTTTTTTCACGAATTTTTAAGCGTTTAAAGACAATTTTTGGATACTCAGTTGATAGCTACTGTTTCAGACTTTACAACAGTCACAAGAAAAACAGAACATTTGGATCACGAAATGGTGAGAGTAGCCTTGATGGCAGAGATGATTAAGTCAAGTAAGTTTTTTGATCTGACTAATGTCAAAAAGTCGCTTCAATTCTGCTCGAATATTACCGTGAAATACTGATCTAATGAAATATACCAAAAGTTCTATAATACTGATGTCGAGAAATTTTCTCATCTAATCCATTAGCAAGACTCTTTCGAAATGAAATAAAGATGAATTTTAAACTGAATATTGCAGTAAAGATCTTAATCTTCAGATAGTTATATTTTTGTTTTTTTTTGTTAATCGTGAATATGTTGCAAAGTTTGAAACAAATAGCAAGGAACTGTATGCTCGTTTCAGATTATGTCTTCTTTTATTTTTTCCTTGTAAACTGATGTGTGTATTTGTAGGATAGTTGACAGCAGCCCATCCTTATCTATTTAGTTTACACGTCGCATCTGTGTTTATGTTATATCGGAGGCAGCGAGTCTTTGTCTCAAACTATTTCAGGGTGGGTGGGTATAAGTATTTCTCTTACTCACATTCACAGTCATATCTCTCCACCCACATCCACCTTCAAATAAATTGTTGAATCAATGTACAGAATTTTACCGAATTTTGAGACAATATCCTAGTCGTATTTCTCTTTAAAAAGTCTTGTAAACATTTCTCTTACTTATCTCCATTTTCCAAACAAACAATTGCTGGCCGTTCTAAGAGAGTCGATGCAAGATCAGAGGTTAATGCAATTGCTCCACTACAATCATTATCCACATTATGACCTTAATTTAAAAAATAGATCTTTTGAAAAAGAAAATATATATCAAATTTAACGTACTTGCAAGTACCAATCCATTATTATCTGTAATAAAAACTCCAGTAATATTAGTATGTGAATATTTAAAATCAGTAGTTCTAAAAGAAAAACATTGATCAATAAAAAAAAGATTAAAGAATTTTTAGAAAGTATCTTACACTTTATTAATAAATGCATCAATAAATTCACTCATATTATTACCATGCATCTACAAATCTAAAATATAAGTTATATCGCTTTTTATAGTGCATGATGGTATGTATAAGGTTTTTTTCATTCTATTCTTTAATATGTTCTAGTAATATGCAAAAAAAATTATAGATATATATATAATCGGACATCTCGAATAATAATAAAATATATATATACAAAAAGAACAAAAAAAAAGAAAAGAAAAGTACAAAACAAATAAAAATTATTTTCTTTTTCGTTGTTTTGGATTTTGTTTGATTGGTTTAATTATATCATTATCAATAATCATATTTTCTTTATCATTATCATCATCATCATCATCAGATATTGTCATATTATAATCATCATCATCTTCACGAGCACCTGTCATCCCAGGCTTTATTTTATTAATATCAATTTGTTTAAAAGGTGTACGATGATGTCGTTTTTCTAATGATTTTGTTAATAATGTTTTTGTTTTACTATCAAGTTCGTTTTTATTTATATTCATTTTTCGATATGAACTCATCGATAAAATCAATTGTAAATCATCTGAATTAAAATAATAATTATTCATTAGTTCAAGACACTTTTTAATATTTTGTTTTTGTAAAAAATTATTAAATAAATAATTAAATATGGGAAGATAATCAAGATTAAATTCTTTTCGATCAATTGTCATTATTTTTAAAGAACAATGTGTTTCAAGTTCAATTAAATGACGATCAGTATTTTTTTGCTGTTGCATGAAACCAAACCAGGCAGGAAATTGAACGACATTCAGTGAACCATGAAGATATGTTGTTGGTATTACACCAGAAAACATTGCCTAAGAGAAGTAGAAATTGAAATACGATATAGAGATATGATTAAAACAATTGTTTATTATTTTCACAAGATATTATGCTGTCCAAGGCAAACTTATCTATAAAAACTAGTCAATTTGCAGTTTTCGATTTTAATAAGACTTCTCTCTATACGAACTCGATTATTTTTTCAAAATAGATTCAAACGAGAATATGGTACGATTCATTTCAACTTATTAACGAATCATCGTCACTAAAATTGTGTCTCTATAAGTCACTTTTCAAAAACCGATTTCGCACTAGATATATTCAAGTCGTCTGAAAATTTTCAGAATATGTTGGAGCTCTAGTGGAGAAGTTATCGTAGAATTTTCAACTCTATACCATGACAATTGAGAGAGGTACTTATCAGACAAGGATTGAAAATAGCTTATTTGGCAATCAAAAATTCTTTGTCGATTTTTATTCTATATATTTAATTTATTTTTATTTGCAAGAGCATGTCAAGATGCAACGCTGAACAGAATCTTTGTTGTGAATTCTAACGTTTTTTCCGAAGAAAAACGATGACAAGTTCAATATCTTGGAAAACAGCCGCTTATTATAAACGTATACTTTTATGTAATAGAAACAAAGCTTAATTCAAAAAAGAAACTCTGTCATGCTCTGCATCTTGACATGTTCTTTCAAACAAAAGAAGTGTTAAATATATTGAATGAGGACCCACAAAGAATAATGAGATGCACGATCAAATAAGTATAAACTGAGAAAAAACGAAAAATATTTCTCACTTTTTTTGTAAATAGCACATTTTTCAAACGGGCGATGATAAAAATAGGAGGTGTCAAATAAAAAATTCCTTTAATTTATGAAAGATCAGGCATCAGACTATCTTCCCATGGATTTATCTTAATTTTTATTGTTATTTTTGAAGAAAATTGACTTTTCCAAGGGGCACTGAATTCAAGGAATTACACATGTCTTCAACAATTGTTAGTACCGATTCAATTTGTTTTCGAACTTACTTTTCACATACAATTTCAGAACAGATAATAGGCATGAAATATCGGTCTCAAAATCTATCCTATAGGAAGTCTCGAAATCACAATACTTCTTAATGACTCTGTCCGATCCAGCTCAGAATGACACTAGTACAAGTATATTTCTTTTAGAAAAAGAATTTTTACAGAATCGAACTCCACAATCACCAGTTATTTAAAAATTTATTATCATTGTAATCACAAGTTGAATTAAGTCGAAGTACTTATTGAATTGCAAGAGTAAGATGAGAGACATGAGTACTCCAACTTCTAGACGACCATCATTTATTAACATAAGCTTTCATAAGTGAAATTTCCGTTGATCAATTTCAAAGAATCATACTTTCTAAATCTTGGCATAAAAAAGATTTCTGACTGTCATCAGTTGCGAAGTTCGAAACCCATGTACGAAATTTTGATAAAAAGTCAGAATAGACTTGATAATTTTTTGAATAAAAATCGATTAATATCAAATGATAATTATTTTCAAAGTTTAAAAATCGCATTTTCTCTCTTTTCTTACGTGGAAAACCATCCTTGAAAAAAGAAATTAAGTTCAGATCGGACGGTCTACTTTGAAGCCTGTTCTATAGTCGATTATGATCATTAGAACTATAAAGAGGATTCAATGGATTCAAAAATCTTTCTATTAGAACCCAAATATATGTTTAAATCGAATGTTTCTCTATTAGACTCATTGTGAAGTGTTTAATTGTGCATTTTGATAATGTTTATCTTTAAATCTCTATCGATATACTTACTTGATAGCCCATCAATGATCGACTTCCATTAATAAAATTAAATTTTGAACAAATATCACCAAGAGCTAAACTATCAGCTGCCTTGGAAATTAATTCAAGACGTTGTCGTGTACCAACTGGTTTTCGTTCAATAGTTATTGATGGAACAACACGAATATAATTATCTTGTACTAACAATGGTACCAATGAATAATCATGAAAATAAAGATTTGTTTTATCTATTAAATTTATATTCGATAAAGAAAACATTTTCATACAAGCATCAAATGGACTTGTTGATAAAGCTTTTTCAAAATTAGTTATATTTGATACTATTGATGATGATTGTTTATAATATAAATTAAGTGTATGAATTATTTTTCTAATATCTCGATTACAAGAATTAATCAAATTATCAAGTAATGAATGTGTAATATGAATATGTTCACGTGAACATATATCAAGTATAAATGATTTGACATTTAAAAATGATGGTCGATCAAATTTTATTTCATAACAATATGATGCTAATGTACGCATTTTAATTGTTTGCCGATCATTAGCAATAAATATTATTGGTATATGTATTGTTCGAAGAAGTTTAATTAATGTTTGTATACCACCTCGATCTTCATTTCCAGTTACACCATCAACTTCATCCATAATCAATACCTAATAGTATTTGAAAGAAAGTATTTTTTATTTTTAATACAAAGATTCTTTTTTTTTTTCTAAGCTAAAGTTGTTTAAGAAATGAAATCTTTCGAATATTGGCAGATATTTCGGTTTAACAATAGAGTCTATCATGAGAAAAATAGATCTAGTATCGACAGAGATGCTGATGAAACTTTTTTCGTTAATAACCTAGGGAGTGAAAATCTTGCCACAAAATATTTGCTCTTTTTTCGGTCACTAATTAGAGTTAGCTAGAATTTCCAAATATATGTTCGGATTTTCATTCTTAGGTAAGATGGAACAACTACCTATAAGTTTTGTGAAAAAATTCAAAACTATGTCTCTACAAAAGAAAATAGCGAGTTTGGTACACTCCTTAGTTTGTGCTTTGGAACGGCTTCAATATAACATTTATTGTAGAGCACTGAGTTTTATGCAAAATGATATATTATAATAAGCGCAATCTGATTCATGTGTTTCTACTAGAGAGCCAGTTTCTACAATCTAATGATATTTGTTCAATCTCGTTATAGGAAAAAGTTTTGAATAGATATTCTGAGAAAACAGAAAACTCTAATTTGAACTAACTACGCTTTTAATTCTCACCAGTTGTGGTTAAATAGCCGAAAAATGAATGGATATTTTTTACCAAAGACTTTTCGACTTATAGATTAATAAAAGTGATTTCATTAATAAGTTTTACATGTTTATTTATTGTTTGATTATCATCAGTAAGATAAGCTGAATTGAGTTCAATTTTTCCCATCTTTGTTTGTGATCGATTATCTGATGCATTTTGTTCAATATACGGTAAATTTAATGCTTTACAGACAAGTTGAGCTGTACTTGTTTTACCTTGAGTTTAAAATTGAATATTATTATTTTTATTAAGATATTCTAAAAACCTTACCTACTCCTGGTGGACCCGTAAGTAAAACAGCTTTGAATTTAGATGGATCACTTGATGTAATACTTGTAGATGTTGTTGCTGTTTTCTTTCTTTGACTAGTTGATGGTGTTGCATGCCATGTATGCCAATTTGTAAGAAAATAGATGAGTTTTTTCATTGGTGATTTATCAGTTTGTTGTCCAACAATTTGACTTAATGATGTTGGTTTGTATTTATCAACCCCTTCATATAATAAAACAAACATTAAAAAGAGTAAAAAAAGAAAAACAAATGGTACTTCTTTATATAACTTACATAAAGTACCATCATCTTGTTTATAAAATTTTAATTTTGTTGATGAAATTGGTACAAAGGAACTACTATCGATAGGTTTCAAAACAGTAGATTTTGGTGATTTAATTGAAGTTGATTTAATATCTACATTCATAGTTCCTGGTCGTGTTCGAATCATTTCAAGTAAATCATCTTCTGAGATAATTTTAATATGAAGTTTTTTAGCTTTTTCAGTCTTAGTTTTTCCTTCATCACGTCCAACTACAAGATAATCAGTTTTACCACTAACTGCAGTTGTAACTCGACCACCATAACTTTCAATAATTTTTTTACATTCATCTCGTTCTAATGATGGTAAAACACCTATTAACCAAAAATAATAATTTAAATAATAGAATAAATAATCTTAGTACCAGTAATAACAAAAGTTAATGATTTGAGACAATCTTCGGCACCTTGAGGAATATCTTTAGAACCAGGTGCATCTGGTCCACCTCGATTAAGAAAACTTTTATAAGTAATAAATTTTCGTTGTCGTTCTTTTGGATCAAGTTGTTTAGCAGTTGGTGCAGCGGTTATAGTAGCAGCTTCAACAATAGCATGATCATCAGTATGTGAAGATTTTTTTGCAATAGGTGATGACTCGTCAGTTTTGAGTTTACGCTAAAGAAAAAAAAACGAAGTCTGACATTTTATTTGCATAAAATAATACTTTTTTGCCTTTGGATGACATAATTGATGTGAAAAATTTTAATCTAAAAAACAAATAAGTTGAATAAGCAAATAGAGACTTGAATTTTTATTACTTGTTGATGAGTGATTAATTCGAAAGATATATTTGTTTTATTCTCTAACGATTCGACTACCAATTTATAAAAGAAAGAGGACGACAAAAAAACAAAAAACAACGGTCGATCATAATCGAGGGTTTATATTGTATTGAAAGAAAATTTTAAACATTTTTCATTCGATAGATTCGCAGCGTTCGACTATTAATTAGATATATTATCACTGATATCCCTCGAAGTTTTCTCGATATGACGACCTAGAATAAAAATGAATTTCAATTGTAAATGAAGAAAGACACAATATATAAAAAGAGTATAAAGGCTATTTTATTAAATTTCAGATTTATCAATTATTTCAATGAGTTTATTAAGATCTTTACCATCAATATCAGCACTTTCTGATAATCTTATAATCTATTCAACTGGATCAATACCAATTATTGCTAAAGAACTTAATTTAAAACAAACTTTATCAGGTGGACAATCATTTCGGTAATTATTCGTATTTATTTAAATAGTTTTGATATTTGTTTTTATTTAACAGATGGATTGAACAAAGTCCAAATGAATTTGTTGGTGTTCTTGGTACATATATTGTTCATTTACAACATCAAAATGATAATTTACGTTATACATTTTTTACGAACAATGATAGTGTAATAAAATTATCGAATGATAATGATCGTCGTGTTGAAACAGCACTTATTTTACATAATTATTTTCAATTGACAATAAAAATTTGTGAATTATTTGAAAAATGGTGTAAATCTGATGTTAGATTTGAAAAAGGACAAATACCAATTGGTATTCGTGTTTTAGCACAAGATCCACTTGAAAATGTAATATCATTTATATGTTCAAGTAATAATAATGTTCAACGTATATCAAAAATGATTAAAGGACTTTGTGACGAATATGGAAAGAAAATTGGAACATTGAATGGAATTACTTATCATCAATTTCCAACTTTAGGTATATTTTCTAATAAAAGTTACATACATAGATTTTGATATTGTTTTTTCTAGAAAATGTTGAAAATAATTTCCTATTTGGATAGACATCTAACTCGAATTCAATTTAGAGAACAGAATAGATTTGAAAATCTTTTGTATTTTGAATTCAGTTCAACAGAGAATGTAAAGAATTCGGAATTGAGTTTTTATGGATGCTTTCAGACTCTATCTTATTAAGAATTTTATTTGAATAGTCTTTTTATATATCTCGAAGCTTTGATTTCATTCATAGAATATCAAATTAACTTCATTCTATTTCTATTTAACACATTCGAGGCGATGTGGCCCACCGGTGGGCCATGCTACACAGGATTGGTAAAAATATCATTCCAGGGAGTAACACTATTATTTCAAATAGCTAACACAACTAATTTTATACCAAATGAAACTCCATTTAGCGCACTTTAAACTGGTATAAAATTAGTTGTAATAGCTATTTGAAATGATAGTGATACTCCCTTGAATAATACTTTTACCCACACTATATAGTGTGGCCTACCAATAGGTGAATTGCCTCGAATGTGTTAAGAGAATAACAGTTCAGATAGTAAAACACGACATTCACATAAATACTGTTTTTACAGTCTATCCGACACTTAATATAGTTAATGGTGGACATAAGTTTAGAGCAGTTATATTTTTAAGTTTTCTTTTCGATTGTAATTGCTAGCAAGAATCTGAAACATCATTTGTGTAGCTGAACGAGTTCTTTGTCAAGATTGGCGGATTCGAAGACATCGACGAAACTGCTTGAATGAGAATTTTCAGAAAACCAAGATCTTCAGAACTAGCCCTCTAGCTTTCATTCGAAAATTTTGGAAAAAGATTTTATTTGATGAAACAAATAATTCTGAGCGAAATGATACGTCCCCAATCTCTCTATGACATTCCTTCATCTAACTGCATCCAATTTACTGAATGCTCAAGAAGTATTTTTTTCTTCTTTTTATCGAAAATTTCAATGTTTTTTGCCATGTTTAGTATGTTTAGATTTAGAGGTCTTCTGTAAATAGATTGTAGTTCGATGAAATTCAAATCCTCGTTTGAAACAATTTTTTTCTGTTCAAGTCACTATTTGGATTCTTTATGCGAGTCACCATCACGAAAGACACTTGAAATTAAATTGGCATGATCAATTTATGAAGCCATTATGTATATAGAGATATTTGTTAACGAGAGAAGGACTCCAAGTGTGACTCGCCAATTGAACTGGCATTTTGTTCATAAGTAGGTCCCAATAAAATTAGTAGAAACTTATAAGAGTTCGTTCTCATGTACTGTCCTTCTCAAGTTATTACAGTTTTACTGAAAGTCTTTTATAGCAGACAAGACATTCGTGAAAAAATTGAAGTATGAAATTCCAATGTGAAATTTAACCCATGGGTTGGTTTCCTGAACATTAGAATGTTACGAAAATTTCAGCCTTAAAGAATATGCTCTTCTTGAGATACTGAATATCCAGAAACAATTATGTGTCATCAGAACAGGTAAGAAAACCTAGTGTTTTTAACATTTGATGTCTCAAGAACGACGTATCTTTTGAAGCTGAAATTTTTAAAACATTCTAAGGTTCATAAGACATAACCATTGAAATTATAATAACTTTGGAAAGACGATATATGAAGTCTAATTCTGGGTAGAATATTAGCTCGATTGGCGAGTCACACTTAGGAACCTTTCTTCGTAAGACTTTTCCAATAAATCTTGACTTAGAGTTTTGTTGTTAAAGAATACATTTGACGTTTGCACTTACACATTTTGTTATCGTTAAAAAGAATATTTTAATATAATTACTCTCTATTTATCTAGACGAACTTGATATACCAGATCTTGAAAAACGCTTACGCGAATTAAATTTTGGTTATCGTGCACGATATATTCAAGAAGCAGTTAAATTTCTTAAATATACTGCTGGTGGTGCATCATTTTTTGATCGATTAAAAACATTATCAGTTAAAGAAGCTCGTAATCAATTATCAAAAATGATGGGTGTTGGTCGAAAAGTAAGATATTTTAATTAAATTTATTATTTCAAAATAATATTTAGGTTGCTGATTGTATTCTTTTAATGTCACTTGGTAAACAAGATGTTGTACCAGTTGATACACATATTCATTCAATTGCTATGACCTATTACGGACACTATAATGAAAATACAAAAAAACAACAATTAACTACAGCTAATTATGATGATATATCATCGTTTTTTGAACAACTTTGGCAACCATTATCAGGTTGGGCTCAAGCTGTATGTATCTTTTTTTTTTTAAATTTTTTTCTCTTCATATGTTTATACATCTGTTTCTTTCTTTGAAAGGCTGCATTTTCTAATGAACTTCGTTTATCAACTAGTCCAAGAAATACTATTAAATCATCTATATCATCATTAAAACGTTCGATTAGTAGTCAAGATTTTCTTACAGAAAAATTATATAAAACAATTGATGAACATAATCAACTTCAATCAATAAAAATAACTATTAAACGTGGTAAATTACGTGAAAAAAAATTATTATCAATTGAACCAAATAAAGAAATTTCAACACGACCTAAACGAAATGTTAAACCGATAGATCGATTTTAGGAGAAAAAAAGAATATTTCAAGTTAAAATCGATTTTTTTTTGTACAATTTCTATGATTTATTTTTACATTTGTTAATAAAACTTTAAATTTCTATATTATTACAACGACTATTATATTCTTTCATAGATGATTAAAGAGTTCAGAGTAAGCTTTTTCTTTACTTTTGAATGTGTTCTACTTTCATAGAACAGAATAGAATTTCTTGAAATTCAAAACGAAAAACTTTTTTTCTTCTTTTGTTTCCTTTTTCTGATTTAGAGAAGAATACAATTTAGAAAGCGGTTCATATCACAGAAGAAATATTTTCTTTCCAATACTAGAAAAAAAATATTATCATTTTACAATAATGAATAAAAAAGATGAATATTGGTAAAATGATATCAGATAAGCCTACATCAACATAAACAGGATCTTAACGTACTTTTTCTAAAAAAAGTTTCTGTCAAAGTCAATGGTTTCTTTGACCTTTTCTTTTTTTTTGTTTTATGACGAACTTTCTTTTTATCTTTTATTAATCAAAAGTTGAGAATTTTTTATTTATAAATTATCATTATTTTTTTAACTTGAAATATTTCTATTTCTTGTTATCTTTCTCATAAATCCATCCTACGTATTTACTAATACTTTACACATAAAGAGAAATATCCAGATGTTAAACTTTCTATGATAACATCAAAAAAAAGAACTACGACATTACTGTGTTACTCTTTTTTTTATACAAGAACTTCATCGTTGACAAATATTTATACAAAATAAAAAAAAAGAGAGCAATGTGATATTGACAAAAAAAGATGCTGGATTCTATGGAAATCATGGAACGATGATACTCTTAGACATCAAAATCAAGTTCCATTATACTAATTTGCTTTTTCTTTTGTGGCATAGCTTCAATGTAATTATTTCAACCGTGATGCCATCTAAAAATCATAATTCTCATTTTGAATTTCATAAAAATTTATTTCTTAATGTCTCTGACAACTAATGCGCTCTATCATAATCTTTTTCGCTATTGGTTTGAAATCGAACTGGTTGTCAATTATTAATTATTGTTTATTATTTATTTGTCATCGAACGGACGGACCGTTGAATCGTGTAGGACGACGCATATTCTATCGGAAAAAATGAAAGAAGAAGGAAAAAAACCCAATGAATGAATCAAATTTTGCATTAGTGTATGCATGATTGCACGTTATCAATACATATTTATTTATTCACTTCTAGATGTAACTCCGATTATAATGAGTATACTTATGTGTGTATATTTATACATACACATATAAACTATTGAATGAAAATAATTTCAAAATAAAAACAACATATTAACAATGACCAACCGAATCAAATTAGCGCTTAAATTGGGGGATTCAAAAAAGAGTAATGAATTTGAAATCAATGAAACGTCGAAGAAAGATGATTTTTCATTGAGTGAAGTAAAAACAAATTTTTCTTTTTTTTAAAAAAAAGTACATATACATTTTATTAATTATTAGATTGTACGTTATGGCTTTCCTTATCGACCAACAGCACTTGCTTATGATCCTGTACAAAAACTTCTTGCTATTGGAACAAAAAATGGTATTATTAAAATGTAAGTCTATTTTCTTATAATAAAATTATTCAATTAGTTATTCATTTATTGAAAAAAAACAAGTTATGGCGGTGCATTTGTCGAATGTTCGTTATTACATCCAACTGAAGTTGAAATAGTTCAACTGGTATTTCGTGTAAATGAGGTAAATTTACAATTAGCAAAAGCAAACGAATAATATTTGATATGTAGGGTGCATTGATAAGTGCATGTCGGGATAATTATATTCATTTGTGGAGTTTACGTCAAAAGAAACCAGTTATAGCCAATTCACTTCGATTCGTTAAAGAAAAGTAAGGACTTTCTATTTTCATTTTTTTTTGCACTACTTTACAAACAAAATGACATTATACATATTAATGTCGTATGATATATTTTTGTTTGCGTAGATGATGAGTTTAACTAACTCTCGTTCTTATCTCTCATGAGATTTTGGTTGCTCTGAACATTTTATCATTTATTCATGCTTCCGGTCGACTAATAGGAAATTGCTTTTTTCTCTTCCTCGTTTTCTTCTTTTTTTTTTTAATACAACCATTCATATAATAACATTAAGAAAATCTTTTGTTTACTTGATACTGATCTATAATTTAAGAAATAAGAACAAAAACAAAACAAAAAGAATCTTAGATTTAATAAATTAATCATGATAGCCACTTAAATAGATTTGATAGCAACATGAGACAAGAAAAGAACGTCATCATTCTCTATGGGATAAGATATTAACTAGATTTTTTTAATCAAATATATTCTTTGACTTGTATAAGTGACGTGTTAATGGTTTAACAACATAACTTATATTTATTCTATAGAATCAGTCGATGTCTTCTTCCTCTTACTTTTAATTCCAAGTGGCTTTTAGTTGGTACACATGCGGGAAATGTTTATGTGGTTAATCTTGATACATTTACACTTTCATCATATAAAATTATGTGGAATAATGCCATTGGGATGTATGCATTTGATATAATTTATGTTTCATTTAGAAATATTGTTTTTTTTGCTTAACAGGGGTAAAAATACACATCCAGGTACGGTTGTTGACTTATGTCAAAATCCTGATGATCCAACACGAGTAAGAATACTGATTATTAAGGGTATCTGTAAAAAGTACAGCCACCGCGAAAAGCTACAAAATCATATAGAGTTCGAAACGAATAGTACACAAACAGCCGTTTTGAGCTGCACATTTTGTTTTCCACTAGAATATATCATTTTGTCACGAATATGGACATGCATGATTGCTTTGATTTTTACTTATACAAGGTATTTTACCATTAAACTAATAAGGGAATGTTTTCAACTGAGTAATCGCTTTCTCACCAACAGCTAATGCATCATGGGGTTATTAAGCATGATAATTTTGAATATTATTATGAGGGATACCTGCAAGTCTCGATATGCTTATTTCCTAGACTGACAAACATTTTGCAAAAATCATTTTGAATCTATCCAGATTATAGAGCTTGTCGATAAGACCACAACCTTTTTTTTTTCTCGATAATGAACTTTAACTAATATAGTATCATCTTGAAGATGTTCACATTGAAAGATTGACATGTATTTGTGTACATATTTAAATGGTTGTATTTTCTGCAAAACAAATGATATAAAACAGAAAAAGCTACTGTTTTTTCTGCAATTCACTATACTGTATTATATGGACAGATGCAAAAACAATGTTAGCGAAAAGTTTAGTAGTCTAGCAAATCATCAAATGAAGACGTAAGGGAATTTTTTCGTAACCATATTAAAAATTAGCGTGCCGATAACCCGTATTTCTCTAAGTTTCACTGAGAAAGCAATCGATCAAGAGGAAATGTTCTCTCATTACTTTAATGTTTAATTATAAAACACCTTGTATAAATACAAATTAATGCAATTATGGGCATCTATTTTTACGAAAAATGATTCATTTTGTTTTTCTGCAATGAGCATATACTTCCATTATAACATCGTCCTAATAGTCGAGACATTGACTGCTTGGTTGAATTTGATCGAAGAATAAATAACTTGTTTTTCTTATACAGTGCGCAAATGTTTTTTTTTTGTTTTGGTGCAGGGAGTACAAGTTTGCGTCATACATTTTTTTTCTGATTATGGGGTCATGGAGACTTTGAAGGATTTCTAAATTTTCAACAATTAATACATAGAATTTTTTCCAACCATTAATGAAAAAAGAATTTCATTTTAGGATTCTCAGATAGCTAGTTAAATGTTAAAACACTGGAGTTTCATATAGATATTTTATATTTTTTAAAACAATTCAATCGAACGTATGAAGATTAGAGGCGAGATAAGGAAGATTTTTAAAAGTAAAAGTGCCTTTTATCAAATGTATGTCTTATCATTACGATATGCGAGTATAATAAATAATTATAAGTACTAATGAAATTGATGGTATATGACGCATAATGGTTCTTATAGAAACATTTAGTATTTTGTCAATGTTATGTCATTGAGTCGCTTAAATTCAGAGACTGAAATTGATAAATATTTTCAAAATGATCCAATAAGTCTAAGTTCAGTAATTATCTTATATCCTTATAATTCCAAATTTGAATACAACAATAAACATCAATTACTATATTGTTCTTACAATCACAATAATAGAACGTTCAGAATACTGAAATGCACACAACAAACCATGTATTAGGTAGTCGTTTGGAACTCTATATGATTTTGTATCTTTTTGCAGTGTCTGAAGTTTTTATATATACTCGATTATCAATGGTACAAACAAATTTGAATTATTCTTTTTTTTTTCTAAATCTTAGCTCTATATTGGCTTCAGTACGCATTTATCTTCAACAAATAATGCTCCTGTTGGGCAAGTTGTATGTTGGAATTTGCAACAGAAAACATCTGAAAATGTTTATACATTACAACAGGTAAACTTATTATTTATTTTGATGAAAATTAAAAAAAAATGATTTTTCTATTAGGGTTTAACATCTATTTCATGGCATTCAGAAGGTCGACAATTTATGTGTTCACATTGTGATGGATCATTATCTGTTTGGAATTTACGAACTCTTGATAAACCTGTTAGCATTAATTATCCGCATAGTAAAAGAAAATAGATCATTTTTTTATATTATTAATAATAAATTTGTTGTAATGTTTTTTTGTAGGTCGTATTTCAAAAGATGAAGCAAATAAATTTGGTGCAATATCAAAAGTTATTTGGACTTCTATTAAAAATTCGTATGTATTTTAAAATAAGAAAAATACGATTAAAATAAATAAAATTTTGATTATAGAAATGATACATTTATTATTTTTTCTGGTGGAATGCCACCTCAAACTGATTCACAACAAATTTTATCGACTAATACTACTGTTAATACACCACCGCCTAAACCATCATCCTATTTTTTGACCATTCTTCGTGGTCAAACAACTAATGTACTTCATATGGACAATCCTATTGTTGATTTTCATATTGTAACAGCATCTCCATATATTTCTGGTTAATTTATTTGTTTAAATATTTATTTATTTATTTAAATTTCTTTACTAATATTTTATTCGTTTAGATGCACCTGATCCGTCAGCAATTATTGTTTTACTTGAAAATGATCTTGTTATGATTGATCTTAAAAGTGAAAAGTAAAGAGTTTATTTCGAAATAAAAATTAAATGAATATTTGATTTTTTTTCCTAGTTATCCTCTTTTTGAAAGTCTTCATACATTAGATCTTCACGAATCACCTGTGACTTACTGTGACTATATGACAGAACCAAATACGATTTTTTATCAAAATCTACTTCGATTACAAACAAAACAAACACCAAAACGTGCTTATAGTCAACAGGTTTGTTTTATAAATTAATACATAAAATTATGGTCTTGCCAATAGTGTAAACATAAGAATATCTATTAGAAATATATTATAATCTATGGCCCAAAGTTTTAACATAAAATATTCATTTATTTTTTCGATTACTAGCTTTTCATCGCTAATGAGCTTTAAAGTGTTCTCTGTCAAATACTATATAAGTGAGAGCTCTTCGTTTCTAGCGCTTTTAATAAACCCAAATCTGGAAATTCCTAGCAAAATAACCCGCACTATGACAATTGTTTGTATGTGAAATTCTCCTAATGATAAGTTGTAAAGGTGCTAAGAGTATTGGTTATGGACCTCTAACACTGTGAGTTTTCGATCACTTGGAGGAAAAAAAAGTCATAATATACACAAAAAGCTCTGCTTTTCGGTTTTCTCAAAACTTCTTTTTTTGCAAAGTATTTGGCACTGTTTAAGATGTCTGTTTTTTTTGTTATTTTGAAAAATATTCCATTGTTACTTTTTACCAGATTTTACAAAAAAAAAAACCCGGTATTTTCGGAAGTACATTCAGTATTTCCATCGGAGATGGAAATTTAAAAAAATGAGGCACCCCAAATAGTGTCTAGTAACATACGATGCAAAAGTAATGGCATAAAATACTGATTCCTGTTTCTCTTCGATAAAATGGTGCTGAAAGAGAACTTTTTTCAAACAATAAAGGTTTTCTCCTCTTTCAAATCGAATATAGCTTATTTTTATAATACATTCATAAACGAAATGACATAACAGAAAAGAGAAGCACCCTTACAAAAAATCTGCACTTTTTGTGAGATTGAGAAAAACGGCGCAAAATAATGATTCCTATATTCCTTTGATAACTCTTCGTTAAACACGTTTTGAAAAGAATATATTTTTATCAGTTGATAGAAAATTTTCTCCTCTTTCAAGCAGTGTACGATTTATGTTTGTTACACATTCGTAAATGAAATGACACGAGAGAAAACGAGAAATATTCGCGCAATAAATTTGTAATTTTCATATGAACTCGTCAAAAATATCTTGTTAGACAACAATTAATTCGATTTTTGTAGACTCATTAAAAAAATCTTGTGAACCGATAGTTACTTTGACTTTTATGAAATCGTTAAAAACATCCTGTAAAACAACAGTTAATTATAATTAGCTGTCATCTACAAGATGGTTTTGACAAATTCATATAAAAATTACACATTTTGTTCGCGAAAGTTTCTCTGTTTTCTTGTCTTGGTTTACTTACCAATGTGTGACAAATATGAATCATACACTGTTCAAAAGAGGAGAAAAATTCCTACCAACTGATAAAAAAATATTCTTTGCAGAACCTATTAATCGAATAGATACAAGGATTAACACTGTATGCGGTCCTTTCATAGAAAAAATGCAGATTTTTTCTAAGGGTCCTTCACTTTTCTGTTACGTTATTTCCTTTATGAATGCGCTATAAAAATAAGTTATATACGATTTGAAAGAGGAAAAAAAGGTCTATCATTTGGTAAAAAACAGTTTTCTTTCAGTACCCTTTTATCGACGAAGAGTAGAGATCGGTATTTTGTACCATTACTTTTGCATCGTATGTTACTTGGAAATAGAATTTCGGTTCTATCAGACGCATTGTGGGTGAGAAAGCGGAGTGATTTTTAGCCTTTATGACCCAGATATTTCTTAGAAGGAAATCTTCTAAGATTTAGGAGTAGATGCCAACCTTAGCTCTATTCATCGAGATCTGTCTATCGTGAAAGTTTCAAATATTTCTAAGGAGCAGTTCTTCAGAAACTTCAGAAAAGCGGAGGAACAAGCCATCTTAAAGACAGTTGGATAGAATTAGTTAGAATCTGAATTTTTTGCTGTTTTTGAACATGTATTTAGTATTGTCTTCTGAGTCAAGATTTAACAGCCATCATCACATTGTTTCAAAAAAGTTCGAAACAGTAATTGTACAGAAAACTAAAAGACGATCGAAAAATGTCGACCTTTCTCAGTAAATCAATGACATGTACGACAAACTTATATAGGGTTAATTGATCGAAAAATTTAATTTTGTAGAAGAAGATTAGAGTTATCATCTGAAGAAAAGATATTTGAAAATGCGTATGTGTAGTACAATACTAAGGTCATTTTACTAATCTTGAGTGAATATATTTTTGAGAAAAAAGAAACTTTTTCCAATAAAATATCTGAATGATAAGTTAATCAGATTGATATTTTGTGTAAAGATCAATAATCAAATATTGTGATGCGTTGACTTTGTTTTCGGACGATTGCTATTAACCTTTTTGGAATGTTGTTGATCATTTTTTTTTGAATACCAAAATTAAATCAATAATTTTTCTTGACACCGGCATATTTACTTAAATCTTATCGAGTGATGCCTCATAAGTTTTTTATTGATCATATGTTATATATTTGGCTGCGAAATCAATACTGAAGGTTTTTAATAAAACTGTCGGAAAGACAAATCCAACCAATTGGCATATTAGAGAATAAATTAGAGAAAGCAAACTTCATAAAAATAAGACTGTCAATTTGCGTGTTGTACAACTGCAATAATAATCAACATATATGATGAATATTGTTGCATTAAAATGATAAGTCTAATAAAATATCTTAGTGAGCAAAACACACAACTATTTAAAAAAAAAGTATCTTCTTTTAGATTATACCTTTAATCTTCTTCTATAATATTACATATTTCGATCAATTAACTATATATAGATTTGTCATAGAAATCATCGATTTACTGAGAGGAGCCGAAATCTTTCGACCATCCTTTATTTTGATCGATTTTCTATTTCGATTAAAATCTATCAAATTCAAAATGTGAAATAACTTTTAATGGCTCAGTTTGTTGTAAAAAAACGTCCTCTACTTTTGTATTCTTAAAAGCAGTTTTTGCAGCAATTACTTTTTGACTAATGTCAATTTCTATATAAACAACTATCCATTTCAAAATATAATGAGTTCTACTGTCTTTTGAATAAATTTTGACAAGAACATCATAGAGACATGTAGTCTTCACCATTCAAGAGAGAAGATCCGAACCATCAACGGTAATTAGTCAGCAGTTGACCGATCAGTTGAGTTCTTGGCGAAGGTTTTTAACAGTGATATTCTGAAGCTACTTTTCTTTCAACTTCGACTATTAATAGAACCACTCAATAGAAAAATTTCTTCTTTTTCAATCTACACAAGAACGACATTTCAGGTTTGTTCCATTTAAGAGTTATAAGACTTGTTCTGATAACCCCAATGTCAGCCTATTGATCTGTCATCACCCGGAAAAGCAGCTAGAGAGAAATAATTCACCATGCTGAGTCGAATGATAGTATTTGTTTTTTGAGTTGGAAATGATTTGACTCTGTTATCAGTCTTCTCTCTTAAATAGTGAAAATCGCAGGTCTCTGTGATATTTCTATCCAAAGTTATTCTAAAATAAGTTGAAAACGTCATATTTTGAAATGAATAGAAGTTCTATAATAGAAACGCCTAGATGATATTTCTGTTATGACAATATCTCATTTTGTATAGAACTCAGTGCTCTATAATAATATATAGTTGAAACTATTCTAAGACACAAACTAAGAACTGCTCCAGAACCGCTACTTTGGATTATACAGACACAGCTTGTAGACTTTTTACAACAATTACTAATAGTTGTTCAATTTTACATCAGAAGGAAAATGTAAACATTTATTTGGAAATAATCAAAAAACGAATATATTGTGGCAAAACTTTCGCATTATACGTTACATTGTGTTGTTCAGATTTTAGATCTATAGATTGAACGAACACAAACAATCAATTTTTTCCATGAAGTCAGAAATGATCTATATTTTTGGAAACGTTTTTTTTTTGAACTACAACCTTAATGTTTTTTATTGGAAAGACACATTGACTTGATTATGTCAAATCTAATAATGAAGAGTTCCGATTGAGTTATCTTCTGACATAGTCTTAAAATTCTAAAATGATTCGACGTGAACTCTTGCTGATTTGATTTCAAACGATCAGGTCTACATCGTCTACTACGCTACAAAAGACATTAGGAACTTTGGTGCTAACAGCTTAGAAAGGTCGTGAACTTTCTTAAATATTCCTATCTTATGTTCATATTTGTTTCGTAAAAATTTCGTGTTGCAATCCGAGATAATCTAAAATTCTAAATCGTTGAATATTTTTGATTTATGAAAAAAAAAACAACGGTCATTCTATGCTATTTCATATTATTACTTTTATTAAAACTTCTAATCAATATATTTTCTTTGAAGGAAAATCCAGTATCAGGTGGTAAATCCGGTTCGACTATATTTGGTTACAATGAACTTATTATAACTGGGTAAAAAATATTGCTTTTTCATCTTAATAATTTTAAATTTATTTCCTTTTTTTATTTCTAGTCATGCTGATGGTTCAATTAAATTTTGGGATGCATCCGGTTGTAATCTTTTATTTTTATATAAATTACGTACAAATCGTTTATTTGATCGTACACAATTAACAAATCCATTATCTTCATCATCAAATAGAAAAGATCTAAATACAAATATTAAATTTGATATAAGAACATCACGTGCAAATAGTACTATAAGTGACGAATCAACTCAACAACAATTAAATTCAATAAATTTATCAAATGAATTAAATGGTTATGAATATCCATTTGCAATATATTCAATAAAAATGTGTTGTGATGGAAAATATTTAATAGCTGCTGCACGTGGTGGTCATGTTACATTATTTAAATTTACTGGTTCTGAATTAGATAAAGCTGATGAAGGATTAGGAGATTTATCATGGTTAGAAATTCCAATTTTACATAGAAATTCATCAAATGATCATATTGATACAAATATAAGTGGAAATTTTTCAGGAATAACTGATTTACAAGCATCATTATCACGACAGAATGCGCAGAAAAAAGTAAATTATGGATCTTTTTTTTCTTTGTTATAGAAAAAAATGCTTCTAGCACATTTCTGTTGGATTAAATTGTGAAACACAATGTAGTTTCCGTTGCTAATCGCAGGAAGATTGTTCTATTCCAACCATTTTCAGACAAATTTCTTCGCCAGTCTTTTGCTTTATACTCTAGAAATGTAATAAGGAAGAAGTTCACATATGATAACGAGATAGTATTCAAAGACAATCTGTGATTGTATATCAACCTCTGTCTTAGTCTGTGATGGCCTCTGACGAAGGATGGTTCTCAAGTGTGACTCACTAATTGAACTGACATTTTGTCCGTAAGTAGATCCCTATGAGACTAGTAAAAACTTATGAATTCGTTTTCATGTGCTGTTTCTTTCACGTTGTTACAATTTTACTGAAAACTTTTTTTTATCTCTGGCAAAGTATTTGTGAAAAAAAAATTGAATTATGAAATGTTTATGTAAAATTTAGTCTATAAATTAGTCTCGTGGACATTAGAACGTGATGAAAATTTCAGGCTAAAATGATGTGTTCTTCATCGGATATTGAACATCCAAAGACAATCATGTTTCGTCAGAGAAGATCAGAAAATCCCGTATTTTCCACATTCGAAATATCAGACTGTCATTTGGAAATCCAATTTTTTTCCTAAATACCTGGCCAGAAATAAGAAATTCAGTAAAAATGTAATAGTTCAAGAAGAAAAAAGCATGACATTAGGTCTTTATTGACTGCAACTATTCTCATCGGTACCTACTTACGGGCAAAATATTAGTTGGATTGAGGAGTAGAGCCCGTTGAATTAGTTTCGAATCTGATGGGTTTTACCCTACATATTTCTTACATGAGTCATCTGAAAAATGTATTGGGTGCACTAGTCACTGAATACAAAAACACTGAGAAAAAATATCTCGTTTCATCGAAATGGCATCCTATTTCAAATAGAAAATTTCATTGAAAGTATCGAGGTACAATTCGACTGGGCCCAAGTCTGAATATTTTGGATTGGATGGGCTTTATTAGAGAATCACACTTAGACAACCTCTATCGTAAGAAGCATTTGCCATATTCTACGGAGGTGCAAATATTTACTCCTATACTTCAACACTCCTTTCAGATCATGTTTCATAAAAATGAAAATTTGTATTTTTTTTTTTTCTAGGATTTTAAAAGTTTACTTCGAGCAAAAATGGGTTATCGACGAATGGCTGGTTATCAACCTGAACTTGTTTGTCTTTTATCATGGTTACCCAGTGATAAAATACCTGTCTTAGCGGATATTTCAATTAGTTCAAAATATGGATTGTATAGAAAAAGGAATTTTTATTCTTATTTTTTTAATTTTGTTGTTGTTGTTTTTTTTTCAATAGATTAATACTTGGATTAGAGAATGGTCTTGTTGTTATTGATTATTTAAGTAAATCTATCTTAATGAATATGGCCACTGCTGATCTTTATGGTACAATGGATCCATTTCAACGAACAACAGTAACAGCAACATCTCCAAAACGTCGAGGTACTTCAAATGATTCCAATAATGATGATATACTGTCTGCCGATTGTCAAGTAAACATTCTTTTTTATTAATTTGTTTCTTTAGGTTTTTTGTTGAATTTAAAAAAAACGAAAAAAAAAATTTGTATCTAGCATGAACCACTCAGTCCTTCACCTTCAGTTGAACCAGGATCATCAAAAAATCCTTTTGCATTTTATACTACTGGACAAATGTCAAATAAACTTCGTGCAAAACCATCCAATCAAGCTCCGTCTCAAAATACGCCTAGTGAAAATGTATCAACATCATTTTTTCGTTCACGATCAAGTGAATCAATACCTGGTAATGATCAAACAACAGTATCACATTCAACAGGAGGAGGAGGAACTACTAGTGGTTATGGTCTTCATGAAGAAAAACCACCGAGTGTAACAACATTATCAAAAACATTCAGTACACTTCGTAAACGTTTATCACGCCCATCAAATTATAGTAAACAAGAATCGGTCCTAAATCGTAGAAGTTCAAATCAAACTGAAAAAGATAGGCCTGTAAAAAGTGGTGGTGATGATAGTGAAACAAGTAGTGCAGGTGAAGAAAATAATCAATCAGCATTTACAGAAATACGAACATTAAATCAAGATTCAACAAGAGTTCCTTCTGCGCCAGCAACATCATTGAAAGTACATCGATCATTACCATCAGAAAAAACAACATCAACCCTTACAGCGTCACCATTAACTGCAATTGATTCAAATGAGGCAAATGATGATAGTGGAAGTGGCAATGAAAGTACAAATCTATCAAAAACTTGGGCACCATCGACATTTACACGTGCTCAACTACGTGGTACATGTTCACTTGAATATACTGAACATATGCGAGATAAATCTCATAAACGAAAAGCACATATGATTGATTTACGTAAAGATGATGAGTATCATCATCAACAATCAATTACAACAACATATCCAAGTAAACATTCATTATCAACATCTTTCACAAGCTATCATAGTCACACATTAACGCTATTTAATAACAAGGGTGCGCTCTTTCTTAATCTACTTTATTCACATTCGATTAAGAACGGGCATGTTTTCTACGCTATTTTAGTTTCTCTCTTTTTTTTAATCTATTTGTTTTGCACGCAATTCTATAATTGATTGCTTAATGAAGAAGAATGATCTATATTTAAAATTGAGATTCTTCTTCATCCATCTGACTTTGAAATTTAGTTCTTATTGATTAATAGTATTATTATCAATTAACATTACTCAAACTATTTAGTTTAATTTGTTCTATTAGCATCTTTATTGCTCTTTCTTCACTCTATTCTTCTAGCAATCTTCGTCTCCTTCTACTGCTTCGACGCTAGCAGAAAAGCGATCTCAGGCTCCGTCTGATATCAATTCTACTGTTTGTAAGTTTTTCATCAATTTCAAAGAAAAAGAAAAAAAAATATTATACTAATTCACAATTTTTGGGTCTTATTGTAAATTCGTCTACATGTGTTTGTTATGTTGCTTATTATTGTAGAGAAGAAAGAGAAAACACAGTTTTTTTTTAAATAACTGTTGTTGATTCGCTAATATACATTTGTATGTTTGCTTAGCTTTTAGTTCTTATGCATGTTTGTTTAGTTAAAGTTTAACTTACATGAATCTATAGTTTTTTTGTCCGCTCTATCATTTAATTTTATTTATTATTTATATAGATAAATCAACGACTATTGATCTTCCACGTTCAACAAGTATTTCAAGTTTGGATAATATTGTTTTAAATGAAAGTGTATGCGCTATACAATTTTCCGAATCATTTAGTTATAAAAATGGTATTCTATTATAAGAAAAAAAAATACGAACTAACTGTATTTGTCTTTACTTTTTATAGATTCTAATCTTTCACCAAGTGTTTGGCTTGGTACAAGTACAGGTTGTGTACTTGTTATTAATTTAAATATAACTTATGAGCCTCGAAATATAAGCGGTAAGTTTTAATTTGACTATTCGTTAAAGAAAACTTGTATGTTAAATTTTCAGTTGTACCCAGTGGAAGTGTATTTCGTTTGTGTGGTCGTCTATTACATGTTTCATTTCTTGATCATAAGGGAGTCATAATAGCACCTCCCAGTGAAAAATGGGATACAAAAAGTAAATATATCTTTTTTAAATAGTTAATATTCGCATTGTTTTGATTTCTATTTTAATGCATAGAAATAAAACCTATTCGACCAACAGATGGTACACAAGATTTAAATGCATCATCCATATTACCAAGTAGTAATTTAATGTCTTCCCAAGTTGCAAGTACTCTGTCAAATAATATACAATATGCTGTTTTTTGTTCATCAAAACAAGCTCGAGTATGCTTAATATGACCATTTAAATTATTAAAATTGTAACTATTAATCATTATGTTTAGGTTGTTGCACTACCATCACAAGTTTGTATATCCAAACAAAAAATTTATGACTCACTTGGTGCATCAGCATCAAGTGTATTTCGAGCAGTTGTTGTTAAAATTGCAGGTTAGATTAAACAAATGAATTCTTCTTCTTTTATAAAGTAAATTTTTATTTATAATAAAAACTAGGTTCCTCTTGTTTAACATGTTATGCATCTGGTGGCCGTATACATGTGTATAGTTTACCTAGTTTACGTGAATTATTTGTTACTAATCTTGATATAGTTGTTGATTCATTCAAGTAAGAAATACAAAGAAGAAGAAAATGTTTATTTTAATATTTGATTAATAAAATATAGATCATTGGCTGCGTCGACATGTACATTTACTGATCGAGGTCATGGACTTTTTATGTGTTCACCAACAGAAATTCAAAAGCTTAGTATTGCTTCAGACGTTAAGTAAGTTTGAAATAACTCCTTCCGCTGCCTCCAGAAAAGAAGTTTATTGACAAAGAAAATTTCACATGGCATACAAGCATATCATGGATATTTTTAAATTTTTTTTTCGAAAAGTCAGCAGATATTGAAGGAGTTTTAGCACCTGAAAACTTGATCTTTGATTAAAAATCCATTTTTTTCTGTAATTAAGATCATTTTTTTTTCTAATATTAATTTCAAGATATAATGTACTTTACTGTTTTTAGAATTACTTTTGATAGGAACGTCATAGAGATCTGCGGTTTTTTCTATATGAGAAAGAAGATTCGAGGCCATCGAAATATGATTTGTCAGCAATTGATGAATCAGATGAGTTCTTGGTGAAGATTTTCGAAAACAATGTTCTGACGCTATTTTCTCTTCTATTGAAACTATCAATAGGACTAATCAATAGAAAAAATTCTTCTCTCTCGGGCTATACAGAACTGACAAAAAGCAACTAAACGGGGTAATTCATCATTTTGAGTGGAATGGTGATGTTTGTTTTTAGGTTGCAAATGATCTAACACTGTCATTTCAATATTTCCAAATTGTTAACTCATTCGTTACATGGAGGCTGATTGTGGAATATCAGAAATATTGAGCTAATAGAGTCAGATCAATTCGAGTCTAAAAATAAATATCACCATGCGGCTTAGAATAATGAATTACTTCTGTTGAGCTGCTTTTCCGTGCGAGCACAGGTCATGTCGCTGAAATCGAATTATTAGGTAAAGTTATAAAATTCTCGAATGAAACGAGCTGGGAATATCAACCCTGTGTAGATCGAAAGAGAAGAATTTTTCTATTAACTAGTTCCATTTAAAACTTTCACTGAAAAGAAAAATAGTGTCACAACATTGTTTTTGAAAGACTTCACTCAGAACTTACTCGATTCATCAATTACTGACAAATCAAATTTTAATAAACTGCGATATCCCCGAGTCTTCTTTCTTGCATAGGGAAAATCTCAAGTCTTTATGATGTTCCTATCAAAAGTGATTTAAAAAACAATGGAGAATAATATATTTTAAAATATATAATAGTAAACATTTTCCAGCACTTAGTTGATAATAATACTTATTTGAATATCAGAAAAATTAGTCTGCCACAGAAGGTCATGACTTCTTATTCTTGAAGGAAGTTAATATAATCGTATGAATGAATTTACATTTATTCTTTTCTAGAGAACAAGTCAATGAAATGCTTTGCGAATTGTATGATCCATCAGTAGTAATGCCTGCAGCGCCAAAACAAAACTTTTTCGCCAAAATTTTTGCTTCAAATTCATTTGTTGATTCAGATCAATTATGTATGAGTATTGTTTTTCTGTTTCGTTTTCAAAAAAAGAAATGACATTTTTTTTTTCATTCAAGTTGGTGAAGCTGCTGGTAAAGCACCATTTGGCATTGTTAAAAGAGAAGATGTTAATGCTAATATGAATCGAATGCGTGGTACAGTTGATTCAGTTACTAATGTTGTTGCTGATACACGAAATGTAAGTTCAATTTAGAAATCAAAATATGTAAACATTATTTGTTCTATTTTTATTATTTCGTTTTTAGAAATTAATTGAACGTGGTCAAAAACTAAGTGAAGTTGAAATGGCATCCAAACAAATGAGTGAACGTGCTGAAGAATTTGCTACTTTATCACATAAAGTTATGTTAAAAGAAAAAGAAAAAGCTGAACGGTGGTCATTTACATCGAAGAAATCGTGATTAAAACAAATAAAACTTTTTTTTCTACGAACAGTCATTATACATATACATACGTTGTTCTTTTGTTGTATTATCTTAAATCTCTCAATATCTTTTATCTTAGAAACAAAGATCTTATCTTGTTTTGTTTTCTCTTTTGTTCTTTTGTATGTGTGCAATATACTTCTTTGAAAATCACAGCATATGCATGTCAAAGATGCAAAATCAAAATAAACAGCTTATTGCTATATCTCGTTCTCTCAAGTTTTTCTAGTGGCACTATTTATAGTTCTTTTTTTCTCTTTATCTTCTATCAATGGTGTTGTTCTTAATTGTTGTTGTGTGCATATCCATTTTATATTTCCGCTCGATACATGCAATAATTTCTTTACAAAAATATTTATATATACACACACACACATAGACAACACATTCCTTTATTATTGTGTTTTTTTTCTTCTTTATACTATATTTTGCGAAGAACAGTGACTCGACTCATAATCATGTGTGTGTTAATGAAACAAAATAATGTATGATAAAATGGCGGTGTTTTTGTTTTTCTTTTCTTGTCTTCAGTCATTCTTTGCCCGTGTTCCGTTTTTTCTCGTTCAGTTTGTTTTATTTTTTTTTTCCATAATGATCACATTCTTATCTTTGGAACATTCTCTTTGTCTTTTGGTATAGATTTTTGTTTGTTTTATAACCTGTAGCCGCCTGTTGTATTTTTGTTGGTGTTTACAAAAAAATTCTTTTTACTTGTGTGCATATGTGTGCGTGTTTAATAAAAGTGGACTCGTTCATTAAGAAAAAAAAATTCATAAGTTAAATGAAACAAAGATAAAATATCTTGATATATCCTATAGAAATTTTTATTTTGAATGAGATTTTAAGCTTGTATTCAAGATTTTTGGTGATTCACAATAGTGAAGAGAAAGCTATTTTATAAAATTAATCTTTCTATATAAATAAAATTTGATTTTTTGCTGTTTTTATTATTAGTCTACATATATTAACTTATTTTAACAATCGAAAAGATATGCTGTGCCTTAATATTAGCATCTTGTTTTGATGAATTATTTTTCATTGATATAACTTTACTTACATATGATTTCTACATTAATAGTAAATAAACTTTTTATTGATTTAAACTGATAGTTGAAAATGCAAGAAAACTTGTTAGCGCACTCACTTTGTGAAACACGTATATGCTTTTTCGTCGCATTATATTAATACACAATACATTAAGTGAAAAACCTCTACAAGACTATAGTTGTTTTCTAAAGATTATTGATCGTCAGAAAAATGATCTGTCTTATTTATTTCTGTATTTCGAAGAGAAAATTTTTTATTTGCCTTGTTGCTATTTGCTCGTTGTTTTTCATTATCATATTCTGTTATGCTTAATTTAACATTCTGGTTACTGTAATCATTGATTTAACTTGCAAATAAGTCTGTCTTACATATCCATTATATCTACAGCAGGTCTCAACACACTGTTATATATTTGAATAAGCTCGAAAACAATAATATGGTTTATTTCCTATAGTTATAACTTGATCAGGTCACTTTTTTTATTTTGATCAGATGACGACTGTGACAAATCAATGTGTCACTAATGATCAACCTTGACATATTGAATATAGATTTTTATCTGTGAAAAAACAAAAAATTGCATTATCCACAAGGAGTGCGGGTGGGGAAGGTCCTCTAACTGATAAATTGCTTTTGAGTCGAGCCCATGTACATTATGTAGACTCAAACAAGCTATGAATATCCTGAAACGAGTTCGTGCTCTTAACTTATTGCTATGGAGACATTGCAGTTTTATGGTAATTTTTAAGTCATTGTTGTAGTCCTCCTCAAGAACAGTCGAGAAACTTATTTTCAAATTTTTACTTGAAACTTTGCACAGAAACACATCTTAACGAGAGTGAAGGTCGCAGATCTTTTGAGTTCCTTCTATGCTCAAATAAGAACACTGAATCTGTCGATGTATATATGAACAACATAAACGACAAGGTTTTGCAGCAACTATACCTTAGAATAGGAACAACTCAATCGTCTTTTTCCGTCGCTGTGTTCTTTACCCGATTGCTACGACCTAGGAAGAAGGTGTCGTTAAAACCTCGATTTAAACTTACATTCATTATTTTCTTCGAAAATGTATGTGAACTCCAAAAAGAAAAGAAATCATGCATGTCGACTTTCAGAGTTGAATTTAATTGAACACAANACTAATTGATGCTCTACTAGCTGCTGAACAATTAATCAAAACAATTGTTGAGTGTAGCTTCCTAGCAAAATTTATTTAAAAAAGTAGATAGATTAACTGCTTGTTCGACAGACTAATCGTATTAAATGTATTAATCTTCATTAGACAGGCTTGAATAAGGAGATTCGAAGAGCTGGTATTGTTGCAATATGTCAAGCAACTGCTATTCGTTGGCTATCATTGATAAATTTACTAAAAAGTATCAATATGTCATCTACACCGATGAAGCTTGCTTTAATTCGCCGAAAACAACAACAAAGACTCTCTGTTATTAAATCCAACTTTATATTCAGTGTTGTCATGTCCATTAAGTCTTCGAAAAATATTAAATTCATTTGATGATTTCTTGCAACATGTTAGTAAATACGTAGGATATCTTGGGCCCGGATTCGAATATTCCGCAACTGGATTCGCTCACAGTTGGGACCAAACACTAAACTTTGCGGACCAAGATAGAACTCAACGAGCTCTATCCAATGCACTATTTACTTTTTCTCCAATACTTTTCCAAGCAGGAGAAAAACCAAAAATGCTGTAAAAAAATCAGCAAAAAGTTCGATTTTTTTTTCGTACAGTGCACCGCGATTCACACTGAGGTGGGACCAAAACTTGACAACCGTACAAACAGATAGAACTCGACGCGCTCTATCAAATTGACACCTTTCAAGGTATTCTAGATAATTCCCTCCCCCCTAAAATCCCACTATACCCGGAAAACCTATTTTTCTTTCAAATATTGAATTAATATGATAAAGAGTATTTGTTTTTCAATTTTAATGTAAAATAAAATTTCCTATATTATATATAACTTTCCTCCCTTTTATCGAGAAACAGAAAAAAAACTCAAATAGTTTCAGTTTTTCAAGTCCTGGATTAAAATAAATAAAAACAAAACATTTTATATTCTTTGTAAAAATTATTATAAAATTTTAAAAGGTAATGGCTTAAAAAATAATAAAACGAATGAAATTTGGAAATAATTAAGAAAACAATTTAATAATGTTGAATACTTCATGAAGAAGTTAGAAAAAAATTTTATTTCGAAAAAAAAAAATTTGATGTATGCTGTACAATACATACATGTGTGTTGCTCCATCTTTCGTTGCTTCCATGCTGTTGATCGCAAGACAGAAAGCAATGCAATATTTTTGCTTTCCTGTCGATAAATATATCGATGACTGATATTAGGAGGACGATGATCGCGAGAAACAGAAAAATGTTTTTTTTTCCTTCTCTTTCGTTCTCCTTCATACCAATAATACCTCATTCACCAATCATTTTCTTTTCCCTTCCTCTACACATACCGGTCCTTCATGATAATCAGAACGACATATAAACAGAAAGATGTCATCATATTCCTGTCATTAAGAATAGATGAAATTCAAAGCAACGCACACAATAAGAAAAAACCTGAATTAACATATACAACGATGTACTAAAACATATTTAGCACTTTTACTTGAGGAAAAAGAAAATTTGTTGACGTTTTGTTTTGTATACTTGTTAGAAAGACACAATGAAAAAGCAACATTATTTGAATGATTGTAGTATTAAGATCTGGATTTGCTCTTTCAGACGGGATCCAAGCATTGAATCGTGCTGTAAGGGTATTCAGTCGATAGAGCTCATCGAGTTCTATAATGTTTGTACGTGGTCAAGCTTTGGTCCCACCTCAGTGTGAATCGCGATGCACTGTACGAAAAAAAACGAATTTTTTGCTGATTTTTTTACAGTATTTTAGGTTTTTCTCCCGATTAGAAAAGTATTAGAGAAAAAGTAAATAGTGCATTGGATAGAACTCGTTGAGCTCTATCTTGGTCCGCAAAGTTTAGTCTTTGGTCCCAACTGTGAGGGAATCCAGTTGCGGAATATTCGAATCTAGGCCCAAGATATCCTACGTGCAACAAATATTAGCATTATTGTATACGATGGTTGGCTTGGATATACGACATTATTGTGCAACTCTGTTACATCTAGATTATCGTACCCTTCGAGGATATTCTAAGAATGAAAAAGGTGCATGCCATTGTTACGTACGAGAACAATTACAATTAATTGGTAAAACAGAAAGTAGTAGTAATAGTGAAACACAACAGAATAAACGACAGAAACGCGAACATTCATTTATTCTTGATGAAATTAAAGATGAGTCAACTGCACTTGACCAGAATGAATTCGATGATGATTATGATGCTGAAAGTGTTGAATACTCATTATCAATGACTCAAGCTGATGAATTAAGAAGATATTTATCAATGAAGATTGACATGAACCATAAATTTTTTTTTCGACGTACTTACGTTTCGAAAATCAGATGTTAATAAATAACCTAATTTGGCAAAAATTGGCTTGCCGAATTCATTGAATTCTCGTAACAAATACTGGAATAGAATGCCAATTTAGTATTGCAGGACTTCCATTGACCAATAGAAGAACCTGTTTAGATCGAAAACATTTGGAAAATATGCTTTGTATTTGTGCTGTTTCAAAAATAAATAGTTAGATGCAATGTCGTTGCCTGTTGTTATTAGTATATGTCATTCTTTATATTCTTCGTGTAAACTCTCGTCTACCTCTTCATTATACATCTGAACATATGTTGTTTTAGATATTAAGGCTTGTTTTTTTCCAATTATGTGAAACCATGTTGATGTAATCCAAAAAACTTCGATAATACAAGTTTTTCTTGCACGAAAAATATTTATTATGGCTGTCTTTTGTTTTGATTTGCCTTTGTATGCAAGAAATTGTTGTTCCATAATCTTCATGGAAACAAATTAAGCATATGATTAAAATTAAGACGATACATAAATGCAGAATTATAGAATGTAATGGGCTTGAAAAAATCAAAAGCATCAATCGGTCTGCAGGTGCCTCGAATCAGACCAGGCCAGTCGGCAGATCTATTACATGCAACGTCACTGACTTGATGAAAAGATAGACCATATTGAACTGGAGGCTGGGAAGTATGAACTTCGCTCTATGAAACTGAATATGCAATATTCGATTTAACCCTTTCTTGCCCTATGGCTCCTAGAGGGACTATTTCATAAAAATTGGATTCTCTTGAACTATGAGATGTTTAGAAACAGGCTTTATATCAACTTAAAGCCCATCTATTGTGACTTTCCGATTCTCAATCTAAATCCAATTTTTATCGTAAGAACAATTTTTTTAATGTTGGCTGAAAACATAGTATGCGTGGTATGTGAATGTGACCGTAGATGAGGTGGATTAAACGAAAAAATCTACACCTAAACCCACCTTTACATCATATTGATGCTGGACGGATTTAGTTCAAACTTTTTCTCTATACATTCAGAGTCATAATATGGATGTTTTTTTTAGCGAATCATCCTTCCGAATCATTAGATTTACCGAAAAGCAAGAAAGAGTTCACAGATCGATAGGCATCCCTATTTGACAAAAGCATGTAGTGCATGAAAGAAAACTTATCACGAAAGAATTTATTGGTGAAGACTGTTGAGTGTATAAGTAGATTTGTTTTGCTCACTTTAGCTGGTTTTTTTTGAGCAGATGAAGCATAATTCTCGCGCTCTTGTTGAAAGAATTCAATATCTGACAACAACCCATGTAAAATAAAGCTGAAAAAAAAATCTTATCTTAGTCAACTTTTTTTTATTAGCAATCGATAAAATTGATTAACTAAATAACTGCATTCATACCCAGACGGTTGTGATCATCAATGAAAACAAAATTGAGAACGCGGAAGACAATCGATATCAAATAAAATAACATCATACATAATATGCACGCCAAGCTGATGAGAACGGCAATCTAGTGATTGCGTTTGAGTCAGTCATGGAGTAATGAATGTCTTAAAATAAGATACAAGAAAGCTACAATCATTTCAATAGATTAGTTATTTGTTTTTCATTCATTCACGTCATTCAGTATGTAATAAGAGAGAAATAATTGATACTAAGAAAGATAATATGTAGAGCATGGATTCTTGAATGGAAATTATATAGATATTTGTTAATTTTTGAATATTTATATCCATTTGTGCAGTGATAAAAGTTTCTTATTAAAAAAAGGCAAAAGGAATAGTAATAAATTGTACTATTTTATATAAAAATAAATAGTACTGTATTGTCGATTTTGATTTGATCACATTTGTTCCACGTATCTTTAAAAAAAAAACTATTGTGAGACCATTGTTTGAATGCTTCCTTCAAATTGACTCAATATGACATACAGACATAAAGAGTCAGAAAAGAAAAAATCGTTGACATAAGAACAACTTAATTTATTAAATTAGAACGCAGCAAATGGATAGGTTTAATACACATCGTAGAGATAATTTGATTTGTTTTATTGAACATACAAAAAAAGCAAAAATATAAACCAAATGATTAGTAATCGATTGGCATAGAAACTAAAGTTTTCAAACAATACTTATGATGTTTATTAATACAAGATAATAATCTCTAAATCTGAATAGTAATATTTAAAATAATAAATAGATAAATGAATATTTTCATTTCAATGTATTAATAACATTATTATCTCTCTCGATCCTGTTACATTTTATTCATAAAAATTATTGCTATAAGAATTTAATAAATGTGACTCTGGTTGCACGTCTACTATGAATTTTAATTATATTCTTTGAATCATATTAAATTTATCCAATACATATTTCTGACAATGATCATACACTTTAAAACGATTAATGGATCTGAATAATATATTGATTTTCACTTCTGCAAATTATGGGTTTGTTTTTTTTAAATTATTGCTTTAATGATTCACATGACGATAATCTTTTTTTCTTCTGTTCAATCTCAAACAAATAAAAATTATCAAAACAATCAGAGCCATATTAATTTTCTATAAAGCTATTAATATCATAAATCGTCGAATAAGATTATAAAACTGTATCTACTCAGCAACTGGTTCTATTGAGTTATTGACATTATTTAACATACAAATTCAATTGTTCCGCTTAGCTAATCTATTATGTTGTATTCAGAGGAAAATCTTAATTACTTTTTAGACTATATACAAGAAAAAAATCATATGAAAATTAGTTCTAATCTAAATGAATAATGTAATTTTGTTTTAATTATTTAAATATCTGATTGCAGCGCATAATAAGGCCAACATATGCACACGCAAACACACACAAATGATAAAATATGAAAAAATTTTATGATTTTGTTTGTATTGTTTTTAACAAATCACGGCTACATTGTTCAGCACTAAGCAATCATAAGAAAATAAATTATTTCATTTTTCATGTAATATAAACTCACTTTTCAAGTAATGATCGAGCTCGTTCGACAACATTAAAATCTTCTATTGGTTCTTCTACCTAAAAAGAATGCAAATTGCATCAAAAACAATATTTTAATAAACTAATCAATAATTCAACATACAGCATAACTTTTAACTACATTTTCATCTTCATCAGAATCTCAATAAATAAATCGTATGAATAATAATAATAATAGAAAAACTACAATATAACTTACCGACAAGAATTCCTTGTGGTACAAATGGTTGTTTTTGTTTTGATTCGATGATATTAACACGATTTTCATTATTCTATATAAAGAATTGATTTTTAAACATATTGATTCATTTAAAAACATACTTGGGGTGTTTTTCGTCGTAACATAGATAATTCATTTTCAACAATAACAAGACGTGCATTAAAATTCGAAACATCCGATGATGATAAGAAATTCTACAAAAAAAAACTTGTTATACTTTTTTGAAAAATCTTATTGAATATAATTTACATTTCCTGGATGAGTTTCTTGTAAAATTGAAGTTACATTTTCAAGTCGTGCATTAATATCTTCAACTTTAACTTTTAACATTTGAATTTGTTCTTCTAAACGATTTATTGTCATTGCTGTTATTGGTTCATTAAATTGAGTTTGATTTTGATGATTAGCTAAAATATTTTTTTGTCTTTCATACAAATTTCAAAACAAAACAAAAAAATTATGTTACATGATGATTCAAATTCTGATCCATTTAACCATTTTTCAATATGTTGTTGTTTTGGCATAGTTAAATGATGATTTTCATGATGCTTTTGAATTGATGATAAGTCATCTATATCATGATCTTTTTTATTCGTAGTTTCCAAACCCATATCACGTAATGGATGAAAACTATTTGGAAGAGATCCTTGTTCTAGATATTGTTATGAATCTTCAGATATTAATATAGTATGATTTATCTACTTACGAGTACTTGATGATATTCGTTTTTTTTCTTTATCACCATTGGTCAACTATAAAGAAAATACAGATAATGATATAAAATCACTTGAAAGCCTTTTTGTTTTTATTAAACTAAGTATTTTTCGGTGACGTACACGGCTTGAACTAGTTCCCGGTCTTTTCTGTTGTTGTTGCTGTTGAATCATATTAATTTCTTTACATTCTTGCCTTATAAGTGTAATAACATCACATGCCATTTGTAATTTTCTTTCAGCAAAACCTGTTGTAAAAAATTGTTCTTTCGTTATAGGTGGTTTATAACTGAAATGATCGCGTAATGCCTAAATGTTTGTTTGTTTTTTGAAAATAAAATATTTTATCAATGGAGTACAAATATTTATTATTTACTTTATACATAGTATCGATAAAATGACTGTCGGTTTTACCATAAAAATCACAGTTACATTTATCAAGTAAAGTTTTAGCAAATAATGGATTAAAATCAAGAAAAACATAATGATAAATTTTTAATAATTCACATGGATTGCCTGTTTGAAGTCTATTAAACGAAAATCATATTTAAACAATTAAATTGATAGACAAAATATAACTAACGATTTATAATCGACATCACGAAATTTAATAAAACGTAATTCTGTTTGTAATTTGCGTAGATAATTTTGTACATCACCTGTAGACAACATTATTAAATGAATTTTGTTCAATAGAAATCAGCAAACAAACAAATTTTATCGTTCCATCGTACCAATGACTTCTTTGAAATAATCTCGGCGACCTCTATTGATAAGTATGAAAGAATAGTGAGAAGCACAGTAGGTGGAAATCAAATAGTTATATCGAGTTTATTTAAAGACATCTTTTTTGACGGTCTAAACATAATCGTGAAGAGTAGAAGAGTATAGACAATAACTCAAAAACTTCTATTTCTGTTCAAAAACTGAAGCATTATATTCTAATGAACAACATAAAAATGATTCGATATTTTGTTTTAGTTCTCCAGAAATTCATTCAAACCTTCGTATACTTGATTGAAGATTTAGGAAGTATAGGAGACATTAAAGATAATTAAAATAAAGGAAATATGACGACTTATGTATATC